CAACATGGCTTCCTGTGCGCCAGGGGCTGCTGGCAAGAAAGCATGGTGACTAACGGTGCACTGTACATGTTGCTTTCCTGAGAAACACAGAAGAGTCTAGCAACCTCACTGTTCCTTCCAGCCCCAGCATTCTTCACATACGCAGCTGTGTGTTTATGTCATAAGTGTGGGTTTCTACAGAGTTTTGCTGAAAGATAGACTTGAAGCCTAGAGAAAAATGTGATACATAGAATAAAGAGACACAGCTTTAGCCAGGCGTGGTGGTGCACACCTGTAATCCCAGCACTCAGAAGACTGAAGCAGGAAGATCTTTGCAAGTATAAGACCAGCCTGGGCTACAAAGTGAGTTCAAGACTAGCCTGAACCGCATAGTGAAACTCCGCCCCCAAAAAAGAAGAGAGCAGCGTCGTTTTATTCATTCATTTATTTATTTTTAGGTACTGGAGATCAAACCCAGAGCCGCGTGCATGCTAGGCAAGTGCTCTGCCACTGAGCTACCAGAAACATGTTTTTTAAAAAGCATTATAACTGTATCTAGCTCCTGGCTGAATTACATCTTTGCTTCATTCCAGACCATAAAAAGTAAACAGCAGTTTAAAAAGAAAAAGTTCTAGGCAGATTGCTGTATTCATTCGGATAAAATTGCTAATTTTTCAAATTTGATACAGCCGGGGAGTGTGCATATCAACAGCCAGCATCTGTGTGACCCACCCCATCATTCTCTATGCAGCCACAACCACATCCTCCTTACACAAAAATAAGTTACACTTTCATAATGAAACACGGCTTACCAATGCAGCTTTTAAAAGTCTAGTGAAAACTAAGAAATGTGGAAATGCCTGAGACAGGGTCAGTGTAGAATCTTCAAACTGGGCGTGGTGGTGTAATCCCAGCACTCAGGAGGCTGAAGCAGGAGGATCGCTGTGAGTTTAAGGCCAGCCTGGGTTACATAATGAGTTAAAGGCCAGTCTGAACTAATAAAGAGACTCACAAAAAAGGGCCAGAAAATCTCCCTTCAAGGTCATTTTTTGAAAATTGAAAACCAAGGACAAATCATTGAGTAGTTTTTTAAGTGCCAATTTTGTATATTTCTGGATATAATTATATTTGTCTATAACACACAAATTTTAACCCTACATCAGCTAGCACAAGGCTTTTAGGTTTGCCTCCAAAAAGTTCGATGTCACACAAGTTAATGGTTAAGTTACACTGCTTTTAAAATACAAAGGATTGGGGCCCCTTGTACTAATCTCTGCTTCTAGATACAATTCCTCATTTAGTGGGCCTAGATCAGTAATCTGAAAATGTTTAGGCTCAGACACCTCTTCAGTGAATTTTGAAAATCTGAGTATCATACCCCTTGTACATTTCTAAATCAAATTCTAAAGTTTCTCATCATGAGTAGTTGCAAAGGATATGCTTCATACTGTAGATGTTGTCTCTTCAAATAAAACTGTTACCTTCATTTTTAAATTTAGGCAAGAGGCTCTAACTACAAAAATTATTTGCAAACACTTCTCCTTGCAAACATTAAATGGACAAAGCAGTTTTGAAACAGTAGGAAATGGTGTGTTTTTCCTTTTACTCTTTGAATTTGTATTTTTATGCCTCTTATCCCCCAAAACAAATTTAGCCTACTTATCTTGGGCTTTTATATTGCTTATGTCTCTGTAACACATTCATATATTCTACAATCATAATATTTTAAGCCTTTACATTTTTCTTCTGGATTGTTTGATTAATAAACATATAAAATACAAATTTTTGAATATGCAAACTACAAACACAGTAAAACTGTATCACCAACGTGAAGAGGGCTTTTCCCTCCAACCATTTCCCCTTTCTATAGATTAATATCATTTTCACAAAAAGCTGGGGTGCAGCACGGAGTCTCCTCTGTTTGTGTTGTTTGTACTGGGGATTGAACACAGGGCCTTCACACTGAGCTTCAACTACCACTTTTTTCTTTCTTTTGAGACAGAGTCTTGCTAAGTCACTGAATTACCCAGGCTGGGTTGAACTTGTAATCCTCCTGCCTCAGCCTCATAGAGTGCTGGGACTGCAAGCATGCACCACCGTGCTCTGCTCTATAATGCTCAGAGGGGTCAATCAATGATCCTTGCTCACATAGACGAGATGAGAACAGGAAATTTGTGGCCGCAGTATCACTGAGTCCTTGCAACTCCTTCACAGGTACGTGTCAAAGTACAGAAGCCTACTGGATGTTCTGCCCACTTCATGGAATTCAGTAGTTGGGAATCATGGGATTTGCAGAAGGATCTGCACCCTTTTTGTTCTTTCACTTTCCAAATATGCGTATTTTGAGTTCTGAGGAGAGCCTCACTAAGGAGTACACCAAGATAGGGGGATCTGAAAAGAGATGCC